CCATCTGAATTAAAATGTCAATTGGCTACTATAATTTAAATTGCTGTTATAGCACTCCACTCTTACCTAATACTGGAAAATCGTCGTAAAGCGAGCCGTACTAGCACTATTAAACTTAAACGCTATTACTTGAAATTATATTTCTGGAAATAATTTTAACAACGTAATAGCAAACAGAATGGCTAAGATAAACTACTGTACTTAAATACGGAATTTCGTACAATCATAACTTAAAATTCATACAGATAATATAAACGGGGTTTGTATAGCGAGATGTAGTACATTTTTCTTTCTTAAAGAGCAAAAGTTATTGTAACATGGTCACAATGTCGAGCTGCAATTTGTAATCGTATTTTTAAATCATTTAATTTAAAATATATGCTCTCCACCTCAAATTAGTAGTGCTTGCCCCTGTACATCATACTTTTCCTGTTAGCAGCAGAGTCGTGCCGGTCATCATGCTAACTCCTTCCGGGATAAAATTTTGAATTGAAATCACGTGACTTCCGGTTTTACTCGAAGTTCGCATATAGTTAATTAGGGCCTTCTACCACTAAGGTTTCCATTGTCTCATCTTTCATCTATCTAATTCCATTCTCGGGATTAAGGAAAGACAGATGGTCAGACAACAGACGATAGTGGGAATTTATAGGTCTACAATATTTTAAAATTGCAGTCCAATAAATACTAGAAAAATACGAAGCTGGCTTCGATTATATGATTTTATAACTTAAAAGAAAATCAAAAAGTTAAAAAGATTTTAGATAAATCTTTCTTTGTTTAACGAAAAGAAAACATCAATTGAACATATAAAAGCTACTATATGAGCTAAAAACTATTAAAAAAAAAGACTATTTTTAGCTTTATTTCTCTATAATAATTGTATAGAATTCTACAGGCTTACATCTCGGTAATTTGCGAAGATAGACAAATCTTTCTAAATGGATTTTTTCAACTTTTTATCAAGTAATAATTTTAAAAGTTTTATAAATGAGTATATTATTAATATTTTAATATATAAAGTATAACATTTCTAACAAGTCAATATTTTCACTATATTAAACATTTATCTTAACAATTTTTATCAAAAACTCTCAAATTGGATTCAAATACAGTCGAACCTTCAATAACGGCCACCTGTAAATCGCGGTCATTATTTTTCACTAAGTTTTTTTTTTAAAATAAAAATGCGTACAAAATAACCTCCAAACAACGATCATTTTTTAACGTTGTTTAGAGGTTTCACAGCATTAAATTTCTTATGGAAAATATAAATATTTCAGGAAAATTCTGTGATTTTAAATATCATGAAGATAAAAAACATTAAAAAACTTGTAAATATATTTATATATGTATATATTAAAAATTGTTTTCTCAAACTGAATATATTTTTAGTATAAAAATGGAACGAGAAAAATTATTTATTTTCTTTGTATTTTTTGGCATTGTTTCTCTCTGTATTAAAACCTTGACCCTTATAAGTTTACACCCAAACAATGTCTCGACATTATTAAATCTGCTTTATAACTGCATAAATATTACTTATAACGAACAGAATTTAAATGAAGATGTAAAATATCAATAAATATTAATTAAAAAATGAATATTTAATATAATTTTTTTAATCGATTTTTAAATTACGCACGAGCTTCATCACATTAGCAATTCGTTTTACTTTTCTGGTGTTATAACACAAGGTATTAACAAAGTATTGTAATCGTGTCTAATTTAACTATCCGGGTGTTTTGCAATTCTCCACGTTTTGAGACCCCTGAACTCAAAAAAGACAAAAAAAGGGAGAAACTCCCTGGATGTGTCTGGGGATCTTTTTCGTTTAATATCTCAGTGAAGAGTAAAGATTAAGAAACGAAATTTGGCACAGTAACTTGTATATAAGAGGCATTGATGCTGTTAAATTTTAGAGTACGGGACTCGAGAAGATGGGGAGATAGAAGGGATCATGTGCAGTATCTCGTGTGGGATCGGACTTACTTGTTAGTGAAAATATTACAAATTATTGGTATTTGGAATATTTTTTTATAAAACCGTTTGAATGGAAACTCAGCTCGAAAAGAAACAAGAGAAATTTAATTTAATTAATTTTTAAAATTAAATATTTAATCATATATTCTATTTCTTTTCAAATTTTAAATAAATAATTTCATATTAAAATGTCTTTCAAGTATTTATCGATTTATTTTTAATAGTTTTAATCGAATAAATATAAATTTAAACGTTATTTTACACGTTCTAACAGCGTAAATATAAGAAGTAAATAAAATTAATATATTTATTTAAGTCTAAAACAGTTTTTTTTCCTTTTCTTGGGTATAATATAGGGTTGATGACCGAATTGTAAAGGTTGCTTCATGATAATAAAACACGATGTGGGCTGTGACAGATGTCAGCATATCACTTATAACACAATACACTTAACCACCCACAACACACTCCTGAATAAATCAACTAAGAGATTTAAAAGAGATATAACTTTTCATATTCTGCACACGAAAGTCTCTTCATTGATAAAAGCATGAAAATATTAATGCATTATTGTGGCTTTGAGAAGTAGAAGAGATACGACGTTACGCCACTCTTTCTTTAAAAAAATATAAGTTATAGTTTTATATAAAATTCTTTTAAAATCTTCATTTTTAAATTATCTTTGACAAAAATAAACAAGAAAAGATGTGACAAGTAAACAATTCTGCTTTAGTTTCCTTTATTCTGTTGAAATGCTTCCTTAAGCAGAAACATAACATTCAAAAACACTTGTAAATATTACAAATAAATTAATTATAAATATTTCATTTTAAAATGTTTTAAAAAAGCAATATCTTAATGGATAAATCAACAACAGAGCTATAACCTTTAACCTTTAGCTAATTATCATTATGTTGTTTTCATCATTAAGAAACTATAATCCACCTACCATAATAATTAATAAATATTTTAGACTGTAATTAAATATACTTTATAAAATATTACTTCATTAGAGATTAAGATTATATGCCATTAATTACTTTTTACATTAAATTTTATTTTCTTAAATAATTTTAAATGCATACTTACCAAATACCATTGATAAGGAAAATAAGGATCTGTAGGTTCCTGTGACAATTTCCTGTTCTCGACACCTAATCTTAACTGCTTATATCCTCTTTTAACTCTTTTAAAACCTCTTTGTTGAAGTGCTAGTTCCACCTGAAAGAAAAATCAAAATAACAAAACACATGGTTTTATCCCCCACTATGAAATACTGAAGCTTTCTAACAGTACATTAATATTTCATGATTGAAGAGTACATTTCCTTTCAAATGTAAATAATATTATGTGAATTGTTTGTCAGGTCGATTTGACACACATTTACAATTTCAAATTTCAAAATAACTTACTATTGTATTTGATTGCAAAAGCCTACCAGCAGCCGAATGGATAAAACCACAAAACACTGGTAGTCGGTCGTGGGTTCGCGCTTGGCCAACGGGCTGGCCACGTGGAGTTTTCCGTGTTTTCATCAAGCTAGTAACNATATTTAATATAATTTTTTTAATCGATTTTTAAATTACGCACGAGCTTCATCACATTAGCAATTCGTTTTACTTTTCTGGTGTTATAACACAAGGTATTAACAAAGTATTGTAATCGTGTCTAATTTAACTATCCGGGTGTTTTGCAATTCTCCACGTTTTGAGACCCCTGAACTCAAAAAAGACAAAAAAAGGGAGAAACTCCCTGGATGTGTCTGGGGATCTTTTTCGTTTAATATCTCAGTGAAGAGTAAAGATTAAGAAACGAAATTTGGCACAGTAACTTGTATATAAGAGGCATTGATGCTGTTAAATTTTAGAGTACGGGACTCGAGAAGATGGGGAGATAGAAGGGATCATGTGCAGTATCTCGTGTGGGATCGGACTTACTTGTTAGTGAAAATATTACAAATTATTGGTATTTGGAATATTTTTTTATAAAACCGTTTGAATGGAAACTCAGCTCGAAAAGAAACAAGAGAAATTTAATTTAATTAATTTTTAAAATTAAATATTTAATCATATATTCTATTTCTTTTCAAATTTTAAATAAATAATTTCATATTAAAATGTCTTTCAAGTATTTATCGATTTATTTTTAATAGTTTTAATCGAATAAATATAAATTTAAACGTTATTTTACACGTTCTAACAGCGTAAATATAAGAAGTAAATAAAATTAATATATTTATTTAAGTCTAAAACAGTTTTTTTTCCTTTTCTTGGGTATAATATAGGGTTGATGACCGAATTGTAAAGGTTGCTTCATGATAATAAAACACGATGTGGGCTGTGACAGATGTCAGCATATCACTTATAACACAATACACTTAACCACCCACAACACACTCCTGAATAAATCAACTAAGAGATTTAAAAGAGATATAACTTTTCATATTCTGCACACGAAAGTCTCTTCATTGATAAAAGCATGAAAATATTAATGCATTATTGTGGCTTTGAGAAGTAGAAGAGATACGACGTTACGCCACTCTTTCTTTAAAAAAATATAAGTTATAGTTTTATATAAAATTCTTTTAAAATCTTCATTTTTAAATTATCTTTGACAAAAATAAACAAGAAAAGATGTGACAAGTAAACAATTCTGCTTTAGTTTCCTTTATTCTGTTGAAATGCTTCCTTAAGCAGAAACATAACATTCAAAAACACTTGTAAATATTACAAATAAATTAATTATAAATATTTCATTTTAAAATGTTTTAAAAAAGCAATATCTTAATGGATAAATCAACAACAGAGCTATAACCTTTAACCTTTAGCTAATTATCATTATGTTGTTTTCATCATTAAGAAACTATAATCCACCTACCATAATAATTAATAAATATTTTAGACTGTAATTAAATATACTTTATAAAATATTACTTCATTAGAGATTAAGATTATATGCCATTAATTACTTTTTACATTAAATTTTATTTTCTTAAATAATTTTAAATGCATACTTACCAAATACCATTGATAAGGAAAATAAGGATCTGTAGGTTCCTGTGACAATTTCCTGTTCTCGACACCTAATCTTAACTGCTTATATCCTCTTTTAACTCTTTTAAAACCTCTTTGTTGAAGTGCTAGTTCCACCTGAAAGAAAAATCAAAATAACAAAACACATGGTTTTATCCCCCACTATGAAATACTGAAGCTTTCTAACAGTACATTAATATTTCATGATTGAAGAGTACATTTCCTTTCAAATGTAAATAATATTATGTGAATTGTTTGTCAGGTCGATTTGACACACATTTACAATTTCAAATTTCAAAATAACTTACTCTTTAAATGAATTTCCTTTGTATGATTTTTGACATTTGAAACTGGCACTTACCTGTATACAGTTTTTCATTTACTTAAAATCAATATATAATTTTCTTTATTTAAAATTCTTTTTATATGAATTAAATCAGAAATAAATTAAATTTATTCTAAAACAACCTTTCATATACAAAAGTTTCTTCTTGTTATTTAAGTTTAAATGCAGTAAATTAAATTTCATTGATAAATTTATTTATTTGTAATTTTAAAAGCTTTTTAATCATTTTAAATTATCGTAAAGGTAAAAACAACAAGTTTTTATCTACTTTTTTTTATACTTTTAATGATTTTCAATCTTTAAATAATTTGATTTAATTGAAATCTTATAAAATTATTCAATTATCATTAATTGATGCGGATAGAAATTTATTTATTTATCTATTTATTAGCAAATTATCTTTAAAAGCTATTTTTCCAGTTTTTTTACTAATCATTTGGATGTAGTATGAGCAATTATTTACCAATTAGTTAAATTCTATGCTTAAATTATATTTAAAAAATTCTAATTCTAATTTTTTAATTGGAGGCAATTTATTTACTTCTAACTAAAAACTTATTTCACTATAAATTTTTATTATTAAAAAAAAACAGGGGAAAAAATATAAATTTTTAAATAATTTCTATGACATAACCACTTAAATGTTTACATTTTTCTCATTACATAAATTTAAATTCAAAATTAAATTTAATATGATTTTAATCAAACAATAAATCCGTGAAGAAATGACATATATTTATTTTAATCTAATTTTAAAAAATAAATTAAGGAAATAGGACAAATGAATAAAAATAGGATAAAGAAAATATAATAAAAATATTTATGAAATAACAAGATAAAAATTTGAATAGGATATTATCAAGCTAATGTAAGAAAAAACATTAAAGTTTTAAAAAAGTGAAGTAAACTGCATTACAAATATAATAATATTTTAAAATTAGACATTTTACATTGAAAACAATTTACTTTTTTATTTGCTCTCTATTTACACAAATAATGATTTTTCTCTTTACTTGAAAGCTTTAATGTATATAAATTAGAAACTTCATTTGTTACATAATAGAATTTTGTTATAAAATGGATATACAGGATTTAAAAACTAATAAATAATACTATTAAATTAAACTATACATAAAATTTTTTTATTGATAACAAAATGCTGTGACTAAACAAGCAACTCAATATATTTTATTATATCAACATAGTGCTTATTACTGTATAAACACCATAAAAAAAGAACATACTGTGTTTCAATTCATTGTGTTCACAAATAAAACTAGGGAGAAGGATCTCCTATTGTACAAGAAGGCCATTTCATCATCTAAAACCAAATTCTAGTCCCCTTTGAATTCTTTTATTAGATTCAATTCCACTTCTTGTCCTATTATTCCAATAATGTCTTGGGAGATGTGTTTTTAGTTCATTTTGATTTCTGAAGTGCAGTCTGTTGATATTGGACAAGATCTTCAATATGTTCTCTTTCATAATGGAATATTTCCATTTTGTATGTAAGAATTTAAAATTCAATATTTGTACTTTAAGAGATTCACTTTCCTTCCACACATCTATTTATTATAATAATGATTATAGAATTAAAACAAAAATAAAGTAATAAAACTTTATAATTTATATGAAATCATGCATAAAATTATAAAATTGAATTTTACAAAATATATTAAAAAAAATTTTTTTTAAACTAATTTAACCTGATATATATTTAATTTATTTTTTTACTGTAAGCAAAACAAAATAGATTTGCAAATTAATTAAAATAAAAGATTTAATTAATTTAAAATCTGGAAAACATTTTATTAGTTTTTATATTAATGCCTTGTCTTCTAATGTTATAAGATAAACTGTAATTAATTTACAGTTGCTGTAAGAGTAAAAAAAAAAAAAAAAA